TATAACATGTAACGTTGATAAGACACGGCATGATTCATTATTGAAGAACATGATCAGTGATTTAAAACGGCTTTGTTATTAGCTTTTGACATATTCTATTAAACAGCTTTCACATTTAACTCACTGAGTGTTCCTTAGTTTTACACTGGTAGGTTAGTCAACAAAGAAATTAGTGGCTAGGAACATCACTATTAAGCACAAGCATTTTAGTTGATGGTGACAAAAACATTATGTGTGACCTGACGTCCCCTTGCAATCCTTTAATCACCCTTTGATTTGGGTTAGAATGAAACAACTGCCACCATTTAAAATCCCCATTTTCAGAGCAAAGCATCCATGATGGGCTCAGGGACACATGGGCCACTTCTGTTTTACATGCATGTGAGTAGTTCTATCACAGAGGACACATTATGGCCACATTAACAATTAAATATTAGCGTTTTAGTTGTTTTTATGTTCAACGTGAGGGCTGGTTGGTGTATCTTTGATCAGGCCAGGTGGGGATTTCCAGAGTGTTGTGCACTGTTTTATCTTACCTCCATCACCATACGTCTCCACGCCATACCCGTCCTGCAGGCCGTTACTCCAGGTACCCTCGTACCTGGCCGGCGTGTTTACGCTTTGCCTGACTCCGTAATGGCCCTTTAACCCATGAGTCCACTCTCCTCGGTAAATCCACCTCCCTTTGGTTTCAATCCCGAGCCCGTGTCTCTTCCCCTGCGCCCAGTAACCCTGATACGTGTTCCCACTGGGCCAGGTGTAGACGCCAACTACCTCGAAACCGTTCGACCAGGAGCCAGAGTACTCTCCCTGGCCCTTGGGTCCGGTGCACACACCGTGGCCGTGGGCTTTGCCATCCTCCCACCCTCCGCAGTAGGTCCCCCCATCATCAAAGTCGAATCGACCGCCCGTCATTCAGAACTTGAGGGTAAGTGTTACTCTGTAGCTTGCAGTGACGTTCCGATTTTGCGAATTGCTGTTAAAAGTGATGTAAGACTGACAGTGTAGTCCAGGTCAGAACAGGAGTTCTAGGCGGAGATATGAAGGAGCAGCGTGTACCGGCAGCGGGACTCATTGGCAGCGGTGTGCCGGGATTTGAAAGAGAGACGTGGAAGGATGGGAAGCAATCGCCACTGCTGCCACAGCCGCTTCCATACCGCGTACTGGAAACTCCCCCACTCGTCTCTCACAAGTCATTTAGCTCTAAGCTGTCAGTGATCAAATAGTACTTTGCTTCCTGTTTGACTTTTCAAAATAATACCACAACCTGTTGCGTGGGACGAATCTGATTACACGAGGTAAAATTAATTGGGACGCTTCAATATTCATAAACATTCAGGAATGCCTTCATAGTTTTCAAGTTGTACATCGTTACATTATT